CACTAAATACAGTACAACCATAAGTGTCTATGGGACAGCAAATAAAACATAATACTGACCATTTTCATCATTTTAATACTAATCTACTTACTAAAAAGATCAATGTACGATTCCAACGCTGTCATGATCATGTGTCTGTGGATTTCTTTCAAAGAGATGATACCATTCGCTTACAAAGAAAGCAATCACATACCCACGGAAAAAAGACATAATTTCAGCATATTCCTTTGTCAGAGATATCTGAAGAATTTTGAAATATTTTTGTAGCTTTTATATTGATTTCCGATATGTTTCTCACTATCATGGCCATTAAAACAACAACCAAGGCCATTACATTTCATCAATCTTCATTTCAATATAATTGCATCACATCGGAGAGATTGCTACATATACTCCACAGCAGCCAGTGTCAACTACTTCACGTCCACCGCCGTCTTTGGATACGCAGTGATTGTCAGGGGTGATGGTCAGGGACCTGATCGGACAATTTATTCAATTAAAGCATCTTTCAGACACGTGAGTGACAGGCTGGAAATGGCACCTCGCCTAGCGTGTAATATATGTGTCGCTCCTCTGACAGGGTGTGATCAACACACTGTCACTGCACATCACAATCTGGGACTCTTGACAACCTGTGTACTGGAGAGTTTATATTTAGACTGTTTTTCCTTATCGTGGGCTTTACGTATAGACAGTACATGGTGGATGGTTGTGGACTTAGGTAACAACTTTAATAGGAGTATTTATCAATTTAACAAATAATCAGTGTATATTATGTGAATTGAGAGTGTTTATATGTTTATTCCATCTGGTAGGAATTGCTGATCTTTGGTTCGAGTCCCAGAATATGCTGTGCATTGACTACTGTTTTAAACAATTGATTTGCCTTTGCGTGTGTTTGTGACGATGACGAACACCTTGTATATGCGATATGATGGAGCATTTACTCATGCTTGTGATATAGTTGGGTTGAGCCAGTGAGTCCGAATAGTCTTATTATTGTGGAAATGTTTTTATGCTTTCTGTTGTGAACTCTTCACCTTGTTTCAAATACATGATATGACTACACTACTGTGAAAAGCATCGTTAAACCTACAGCACTCACTCACGTTACACGTGTACTTATAGACCAAAGTCCATAGATATATATGTTCTTCCGCCACAATTCCAATACAATTAATACAATAATTAGGTATAATACCTGTATTATGGCATAAATACCTGTATCGATATTCATTGATATTCATACTTCGACAATATATGGAGAACGTTGTATATACAACATGTTTAACATGAAGTGGAAATTGATGCTTATACTTTCGACAATGTATGGAGAACGTTGTATTTAAAAGGTGTAACATGACTGACTGACTGACTGAGTTTAGTTTAACGCCGCTTTTAGCAATAAAATATCACACATAGAAATGGGCTTAACACATTGTGCCCATGTCAACCCGGGTCTTCGGCGTGACGAGCAACGCTTTAACCACTAGGCTACCCACCGCCAAGGTGTAACATGAAGTGGAAATAAATAAATATACAATAAAAAATATGTCACTTGACATTATAAGCCAAAATCGTAATCATAATATACTCATGCCAATAATGGTTGTCACCCCCTTCAATTTTTTAAATTGGAGAGGGGGTGTGGGGTAGGAGTGGGAGGTGTGTGTGGTGTTGGGGTGGGGAGGGGGGTGACAACCATTATTGGCATGAGTATATAATAATTAACCATGCCAACATTTTCCCGGATTCTAATCTCACTCCGATAAAATGATTCAAAGGAATTCAATACATACTGTTTTTGTCCGAAATATTAAAGGATGAATTCAAACCATCTCTTGCACTCAAGACGTAAACACGGATGTATGTTTATCATGATCCCTCTGACGTTTACCTACACTTATAAGATATTTTGCAATTATTGATGTCGTTAAGCAATCATGATATTTGCAAACAATCTTCAGTGCCCGGAGACCATTAAATTTGTATATATGGTACCGAGATGTAAATTTCAGAATTGGCACCAGACCGCCACAACAAGTATTTGTCAAATATATGTGAACATTGGGAAAACTTCAACACCTTGGCATAAGAGTTTGACAGCTGAATTGGAATCCAGCCAGCATTTGAAGATTAGTTAATTGAATATTTCACAATCAAGCGAATAACTAGGGGCAAATTCCCACTTTGAGATCTATGCACTGAAATTAATTATCGAAGAAACTTACTTTCTGTGGGTTCTTGTATGCTTGGGGGACGAGGTCACAGTTGACTCAGATGAGCTTATCGATCTATAACTCTTGATGACTGGCGAGGACAACTAGCCTACGGAAGCCCGCAAGAGACACATTGAACCGTTGAAAACTATGGATAAGTGTGGCGATATCTACATCGGGCAAAATATGTCTGAAAGGTTATGAGTTCATTTATGCAAGTATATCGTTAAAGCAATGTCTTGACTGCGTGATTTTTTTACACATAGCAGTTCTACCTTTGGGACTTGATGTCCACGAGAGACCGTAGTATTATTTCCCTGTGCATTTGAGTGAGTGAGTGAGTTGGATTTTTCGCCCAATTTAGCAATGTTCCAGCAATATCACCGAAGGGGATACCTGAAATGGGCTTCACACATTGTGTCTAAGTGGGAATCGAACCCGGGACGCTCTGCATTTGAACATTTATGCTAATTTGTAGTACCAGAACTATTTCTTCCTTCCTTAATGAAATGAGCGCTAATGCATCTCTAATAAGGCAAGTGAGTTTAGTTTTACGCCGCAGTCAGCAATATTACAGCTATATGGCGGCGGTCTGTAAATAATCGAGTCTGGACCAGACAATCCAGTGATCAACAGCATGAGCATCGATCTACACAATTGATATACGATGACATGTCAGCTATGTCAGCAAGCAAGACCACCCGATCCCCTTTGTCGCCTTTTACGACAACCATGGGTTTCTGAAAATCAATTCTAACCTGGATATTCATGGGTCTCACTAATAAGGGTGAGTATGGTTGTACGCCGCTTTTAGTAATACTTGGAAACGTGAAGATCCGGGTTAGAAATGGTGTTCAGCTTGTAAGAGGCGACTAACACTTAGTCAGGCTCGCTCACTTAGTTGGTGCATGTCATCGTTTCTCAGATGCGTACATCGAAGCTTGTGATGTCAATCACTGGATTGTATATCAAGGACTTGATTATTTACAGACCACCCCATGTAGCTGGAATGTTGCCGAGTGCGGCGTTAACAACCGACAAAAGCAATACTCGACTGGCGACATCAGAAAAGGGCACCACTGAAGCGGGTCTTCCCATTTTCTCAACTCCTATTGTTTCGCGTTTCTTAACCAATCAGGCAGGATAATTCCCATGAGCAAAACATGTCTTCTCTATTTTCTTACCCATGGAAAAGTATGCCGCACAATATATATAATGAGTGCAAAATGAAAGTAAAACAGAGTTTAATATATTTTATAAATTAATTCATCAAGAAATGCAGGAAAACTATATAAATGATAATATATACATATATGAATGATAATGCACAATAAAAAAGTATATTTACCTCTATAAATAATATTAGTAAATATATAGAAATTCTCAAAACCCTTTGATATGTAATTACAGCGGTTATTAAGGTTAAAGTTTCGCTGCAATATCCTTGCTGTAATGGGGGAAAACAACCTTAAGGTTCTACTGTGTATCCTGCTGGTGGGACGAGGTCATTCTGGGTGTTGATCCTAGCTCAATGACCTTATTTTTGTATGTGTACCAGGCAGTGTGCGAAATAGTTTCCAAATTTTACTAGCCAGTCGGGCTAGCTATGCTTGAAAGTTACTAGCCCATAAAATAATTCACTGGCCCGAAATTTGAATGTAGAAACTAAGCAAAAGTTTACAAAAAGGTAAATTACTATAAAAACCAATGACCCCATGAAAATTCACAAGCCAGTCGGACCAGTGACTGTGGAGATTTACTGTCCCGACTGGAATTTTACTAGCCACGGGCCAGCGGGCCAGTGTTTCGCACACTGGTATCAGGGTAAAGCGACTAAACACGTTCCATAACCACGGGAAATCCCTGCTAAAAGCAGAGTCGAATGTATGTTTATTATAGTTGAAGAAACATAGAAGTAGCTGAGGTAGCGGTGGTAATAGTGGTGGTGTTTTTGGTAGTGATAATGGTGGTGTCAGTGGTAGTAGTGATGTTGTTGTTGTTGTTGTTGTTGTTGTTGTTGCTGGTAGTGGTAGTGGCCCGCCAGGCTCATTACCAGATCAGGGACCTTTGTACTTGTACACGCAGCCCAGTCAGTCGAGTGCACTTCTTACAAGAACAGCTGCCCAGTCGGAGTGAGTTTAGGTTTACGTCGCTTTTAGCAATATTCCATCAATATCACCGCGGGGGACACCAGAACTGGCGTCATGCACTGTATCCATGTGGTGAACCAAACCCGGGTCTGCGGCGTAACACAAGACCACAACGTTTGAACCACAAGGATTTTACCGTTTATGACAGTATAGACATGAGAAGCCAAAAGAAAAAATTACCTTATAACTTTTTTTCAATACATGACAGTTTAATCATCATCCCAGATGACAGCAGTATATCAATAGAAATAACCACAAAACGTCGAAGCTACTGATTAGAACCTTTACCAATATCCGATAATCCAATCCTGTAAATGATGAGCAAAATTCTTAAATATTTACAAATCGTTTAGGCCATAAACCATGCACGCCAAATATATCCATGATATTATATGCACCAGTAGTGTTTCTATATCATGCTTAAATGATATGCAGTCTGAATCAGTGTGGAGAAATGCAACACAACCACGAATGTGTAAAGGAGAAAGGATTATAACAAGTGTGTTATAAACTCATAGAAATATTGATACCACATTCTGTGTGTGGGTGTTTGGGCTGGTTGCTTCAGGTGTGGCGCCAGTGGACTTCCATACATGGACAAATCGTATGCTGGAAGGGCGGTGGATTCCACTTTATAGCGGGAACACAAGCACGATCGAGAAATCGGTTTGAGATTTCGACCCCGACTCCCTCTGGTGTCGCCGAGAGATTAGCGCAAACTTTAGCCACGGCACATTGACTGCTTGCGGGGGGAGAGGTAGGTCCGCTTCTCTGTTGTTTGTCGACGGTTGTTCATTGACATGTGTGTAATTGCTCATACCCTCATTAGTTATTCGTTAACGTTATGGTAACTCTTGGTAATATATTAAAGACATATTTCTCGGAAATTCAATATGTGACAAATATCACTAGGTAAAGTTACGTAAATACATTCTAAAAATAAACAGTATTTGGTAAAATTACAAAGTATACTCAAATTGTCATTTGGAAGTTTTCTTCATAAATTTACCTTCTAAATTTTCAAGCCTCTGCACTTAAAATCGCTTTTTGAAAATGGTAAAAAAGCAGCAAGAAATTAGACAATTCTTATGTGCCCCTAGACCAAATGTAAGTGTCTTTTTATCCGTGTACTGAAGAGCAATATTTATTTACCTTATGATGGGATGATAACTCAAAACGCACAAAACAAATTTAACTGGAAAGTTTGTCATCATTTCTTGTCCGGCATGGTTCTATATTACACTCGGTCTAAACATCAGCGTTGTTTATGTAAAGAAGGGAATATTACACTTAGATCTTTGTATAGCTGGCCTCTTGGATATATGTAGAATGCAATACAGTTACGGAAAGAGCTGTATACATTCATTAAAAAGATGATGGTAGACGACAATGTAGTTTCAGAAATGTCATTATATTTAGAAAATAAGAAAAAATCGTCAGTGCAACTAAATACCTAGTTTTTAACTAACTTCAGAAATTGATTCGTATCAACGTCGAAGGGTACTGCTGTAAAGTGTACTATTGATGGTATCATGGTATCTAAATGGTAATCACTGTGCCATTAATAAAGACAGTATCAATTTAACATACTGGGTACCATCACATATATGTCTGTACACGTGCTGTCTCTCGAAATACAGCATTCTCTGATATGATTGTTTCTGCTCTAAGGTACCATTTTATAACTGGAATGTACTCTGTTAGAATTTCATGTTGCTTTACACTTCAACGGGAAAGGTTTCATTGTCACAATGATGGTGATGTGGTCTGGTATATGGCTTCCAAACAAACCTGATTATTTCAGTGTGTCAAATAATCATTTAGTGCGTCCTCTTCATTCAACATGAAGATCCATTGGATTGTATGTGGTTTAAGAGATAATAGATTTGTTACACAAAGGCGCCAAAACTCTTTCCAAAGCCACAAGAATTATTGTCGAGTACAACTGAGATAAAGACTCCAAGATTCGCGAAAAAGTGAGCACATACTACCCTAATGGTGATACCAGTCAATAGCACTTGCAGAGGCGAGTCATTTGTTCACCTGAAACAAAACCCGAACAAAACAAGGAAACGTTTGTTCAAATCAAAATAAGGACATCCATTGGACATCCGTTTTGTCACTGTTCCGTCAAATTCAATGTCCTTCCATGTCTGCAATGAAAACTATGACAACTCTACTGATGCCTTGAATGTTGAAACCTCAATCAAACCCAGTTAGCTATATTCACATTCGTATCTGTCACCATCACGCCATCATAGTCCTTTAATACAACAAGGTATCACATCGCTGATTATGACTGTTCATGCTCAACAATTATAACTGTAGATAGTGTTTCTATTTCGAATGAGCGCGCAACATGCTGAACGAATTATTCAATAGTGGATAAATGTAGAAGACATCTGGTAACTCCGTGTATACCAGCTTTACCTGAAATGGCAACGGTGCTGTTTAGTTGTTGTCAGAGAATTGTGCCAACGCTTTCTATTTAAATAGCGACAAAATCCTCTCCACAATCTTAACCTTCGCTCAAAGCAGAGAGGTGTGGTGTGGTAGCCTAGTGGTTACCCACGATTACCCACATGGGTACAATGTGTGAAGCCGATTTCTGCTGTCCCGTGATATTGCTGGAATATTGTAAAAATCGGCGTAAAACCCAACTCACTCACTCAAAGCTCGTCATGATAAGCATGTGTTTATGAACCACTGTGAGCGAATTTTGCCCCGCCGATGGTACCCGTCACAAACATATGCAAAGTCTCCAGTTGAAGAAAACAAAACAAGAGGATATTAAGTCGAAGTCGAAGTAGGGAACTGCAACAGACACTCATCACACGAAGGAACAGTATTTCTAGAATTTGAGTAGGAAATATATGCGTCATCGGATGCCCATATGACCAACGTTTATAATGCACATATCATTTGGCCATCATGTCGCGAAATAAACGCTCATTTGGGAGACGCTCACCAACATGGCCATGGGGTTCAAATCTGGATTTTGAAAATAGTAATCTTATGACTGTACAGTTACATGGTGAGGTGAGGTGAGGTGAAATTGGGTTTAACGTCGTGCTTGAGAATATTGTGCTCATATGACGACGTGCATGCGTGTGTATGTGTATGTGCGGCTGCTTGTACTAGCCCAGACTGAAGCTTGTTTTATAGTGCTAGCCCACTGAGATACCATGCCGCAGTGAAGCATGAATACCCCACTCAGACACATTATACTGACTCCGAGTCGACCAGTCCTTGATGCACCCATTAATGCCAAGCGCCAGGCAGGGACCAACAAGTACCATATTTTAACGTCTTTTTGTATGACGCGGCCGGGGATCGAACCCGCGACCTTAAGCTCTCTACAGTTACATGGAACAAATATGACTCATATGAATATATTTCCATCAACATACATATAATCCAAGCCCCGACGTCATCCACCACTAGAATATTAAATTGTCAATTCCAAAGTAAAGTTAGGGTTCTCTGTTTAAACCTAAGGCGGACAAGCAGTGTTATTATTGTTGCCCTGCGTTGGAAGGCCATAAACACTCACAATCTGCTGGAACTGTTCAGGCAGCTACCAAGCATACAATTATGTTGCAAGTGCTCTTAAAGTGCTGATTATGTCCACGATGTACACATTTTAACCGTTAGTTCTCAAATGCACAGGAAGATTTTTCATTCGGTGATTTTTCTTGTTTTTTTAAACAGAATAACAGGTTTCTGACATTGACAAAGACACTCGTATGGTGAAATCCTGGGTGTGTGCATGTATTCTCTGTGTTAGTAAGCTACAGTTCTCCTTAAGAATATTGCAAGTGTTGTTTCAATCTATTCCTGTAGCTGGAACACATCTAGTGTCTTTTTCACGATTCACCTCAAACTCAGCTAGAATTTTCGATAAAGACATGCGAATTATTTGGTGCCGACTTTGGCACAAAATGTTTTCTTTTTATGGGTTTTTATATTTGTCATTTGTCGGTTAATGTATATAGATTGGCATTGCAGTTGATTCTTGCATCATTCATTATATAAAGTATCTTTTAGTCATCCTCAATTTCATGAATAGCCTATGTGAAACTGAAATGCTACTGAAGGCACTGGATTACTCAAACAGCATTTATTGAGTGCCCAAAGGAAACTACTACGTCATGTACTTCAGGAATGAATTTTCCGAAACTAAAAGTCAAAACATGACTGTATGACTTTAACAAAAATGAATGTTTGCTTACTGCAGTCATGGGTCTTAGGCATTGTGAGAATTGGTAGTTCATGATTAAGATTTCAAATTATTTCATGACCTGGGCTCTCTGAGCGCTAAGATAGTCGTAACTGTCATACATTAACATTAACTTACGACTATCTTAGCTCTAAGAGAGCTTCGAAATTCTAGGCCCCGAGCTTTATCCTTATCACAGCATAATCTGCCTTTAACATTATAGCCATGCATTTAATCTACCTGGAAGATGTCTACTTGAAAGTACGCGTTTAATTCATGTCCGATGAATTTGTCCGCCATTGTAATACTTCAGAATATTTCGCTCATATGACGACGTGCATGCGTGTGTATGTGTGGCTGCTTGTACTAGCCCAGGCTTAAACCGGTTTTATAGTCCTAGCTCACTGAGATACCATGCCTCAGTTAAGCATGAATACCCCACTCAGACACATTATACTGACTCCGCCGACCAGTCCTTGTTGTACCCAGCAATGCCGAGCACCAGGCAGGGAACAACAAGTACCATATTTTAACGTCTTTTGGTATGACGCAGCCGGGGATCAAACCCGCCACCTACCGCTCTCCGGGCGGACGCTCTTACACAGGGGTTCGAATCACTCAGATCGTGTCTCGAAACTACATAAATAACGTTTTCATTCACTAAAAAATCTACGGAAACAGTCGACGTTTACAAAAGAGTGGCCAGACGTTTGTTCAAAGCAGAAGGTAGTGCTAATGCGAGGGTCAGTGGTCAAACATGAAATGCAGTTAGACAAATTGAATACGATGAGCAGAAAGGTAAACGAATGATCTACAAGCTCAACACAAGTTTTGTGAAAAACACAGGTTTGATTAAAGCGCACGTTAAAATATTCGGGCTGTCCGGTTTTCGATCAGTTTTTTAGCATCGCGAGTGTCACCCCTCCAGGGGCGGATACAGCTTTTTGAGACGTTGCCATTTAAAAAATCTCAAATGTGACTGGTTGGGAGTTGGAGAGTAACGTAGCTGTCAGGATGTCCCATCCCAACCGTCAGTTTTGAGTGAGTGAGTTTAGTTTTACGCCGCTTCAAGCAATATTCCAGCAATATCAGCTGGGGACAGCAGAAATGGGCTTCACACATTGTATCCATGTGGGGAATCGAACCCGTGTCTTCGGCGTGACGAGCGAACGCTTTAACCACTAGGCTACCCCACCGCCCCTTCGTCAGTTTTGAAGATACTCGCGGTGGGCGAGCTTGCTAAGGCGCCAGGCTAGTGATCCAGATAGGTTGAGGTGCCGGGATCGAGCCCACCTGTGACCGGGTGTAACAACCTTGGAGTCAACTTTGTGTGCAGACTCTTTCCGTGTTGTCACAACCCCTAGTGTAAAGTACACAACCCTGTGCACTTAAAAGAACCCACGAATCCGTTAATATATGACCAGATGGTGGCCACATGAATACGTGCAAACACCTAGTTACGGGTACAGCAACGTGCAGTGAACTTGGACAAAGTACTGTGACTATGTGTCCCAGTCCACCCAGCTGTGAATGGGTAC